AGCATGAGGACTGCCTGGTTGGCTAGTCTAGATGGAGATGAGTAATCCTCCTCCCTTAACTAAGAAGGGGCTCAGATGGGGACCTCAGTGGCAAGCAGCGGCTTGGTGGCCACTGAGCCTGAGGCCCAGAGAAGCATGGGTCTTGCCAAGAAGGAATGTGAGGAAAGGATGACAGGCTGGAGGGGAGGAAGTAACTGGGAGATCGGTGCTATGATTTGTGGCTCTCAGACTGCGCAGCAGTTCAGTACAGAGGTTAGGAGCATGGACTTCTTCAAATCCAGTTCCTTACTTACATGCTGTGCAACCCTGGGCAAGTCACTTGCCTCTCTGAACCTGTTTTCGCATCCATAAATGGGATGACAGAACTTGCCACATAAGGCCGTTGTGCAGACTGAATGAGAAAACGCATATAAAGCCCTTGGTATGCTGCCTGATACGTGGTTAATGCCCAGTACAGGAAGTGAGGATGGTGACGTGGGGTGGGAGGTGGGGGTTACGGTCAGACTGCAAGGCGCAGAAAGAAAAAAAGACCTTCATGAAGTGACGTCCCCATTCCTGCAACCCCAGACTATCTCCCAATAGGATTTTTTCAAAAAGTCATGTTGCGTTATCCGGAGGCAAGAGGGTTACCATGTCTTGAACTTTGTTCCCAGACTGGAAGAAATTAAGTCAAGGGCCAGGTCTCTCCATCTATCTGTCAGCATCAAATCACGTCTCCATGACCTTGAAATCTATCACAGAACTTTTCTGTTGTTAAACAGCAGATTTACTGTCCTAATTACACTTTGCTGGAGCTTATACTGAAATGAGTTTGCTCCCCTGAGGCCACACCGAATGACAGGGCAGGCAACTGCTCAGATGTGGGCTAAGTGGATGGGTGGCAGGGGGGCCAACCTAGAAGTTTTAATATGCCCAGGCTCATCCTCACCGAGGGAAGCTAGGGGCGGACAGAGAAAACTAGCCACCAGCATTGTCATCCAAATGGAGAGACCTGGGCCGGCCGAGTGGCTCAGTTGGTTAAGAGCTCGCTCAAGAGTTTGAGCTCTGAGCAACAGCAGTTCGAGTCCAGCCCGCCGCTGAGCTGCCAACAGGTAGCAGGATGGCTCAGCTAAAAAAAAAACCAAAAAACAAACAAACAAACAAACAAACAAAAAAACAAATGGAGAGACCTAACTAAGTTATTAAACCATTCACAAAGGATTTCTCTGAGGCCATAGTCATCCCCAGGTGGTGTCCTCTCCAGCTTACAAAAAGACGAGTTAAAGATAGGGTTCAGTTGTCAAAAAAAAAATATTTGTCCACTCAGCCGACATTTGAAATGAAAAATCCAGCAACAGCATTTTTAATCCCAACTCTGTCCTGTTGTCTCTAAAGCAATGCGTCTGCTTCTCTTCTGCCGAAGACCAATCTGGAACAATGGGAGTAGGACTTGAGAACAGACTGTGGCCGAAGGGGCAAGGGCCTGTTCTCCACAGGGCCCTGACCTTTCAATGTTAAAAGCAGGCCACTGTCACCTGCCACCCAACTTTGCCAGAGTTGGCTGAAAGGCCATGGGGCTGAGATCTCAACCCCTGCCCACCCACAGGGCCAGGACCCTTCTGAGACCTACTGAGTCAGGATCCTGGGGACAGAGGAGCCCAGGAGGTTCTGCTGTGTAACAGGATCGGGGTCGACAGCAACCCTTCACTTACGGTGGCAGAGATGGAGGGCCAGAGGCAAGGGACTTGCCTAGGGCTACAGCCATTAGTGGACCCTGGATGGAATTCAGGGCCCCTAACTCAGTCTAGACTCCTGCCTTACTATACTCAGGGAATGAAAATTAATTTACCTTTAGACTAGGACAAAATAAGGACAGTGAATCTGTCTGCAGACAAATCAATTCAGAGCCAAAGAAAAATGATTTCTTGATGATCATATTGGTGTTTTCCCTTGGCAGAATAGGGGCAGGATCTTACAGACAGCAACCAGGGCACAGATGTAAATTCCAGGCTCAGCTCTGTCTCAGGCTCCTGAGCTAACCTAATAAATATCTTCCCTTCTCCGTGCCTTGGATGACCATCTGCGGAAACAAACCAACAGCTGCTTGGCCTCCATCAGGAAGGCCAAAGGGATGGAGGAGCACAGGACCAGGGAGGCCCTGGGCCCCTGGCTTACAGGGGCTGGACAAACAACAGCTGTTCCCATCCAACAAGTCCCTCCATAACTCATTCTTTCACTAACCGCTGACTGAGCTCCTCTGGGCTTTGCAGCACGATGCCAGGGACCTCTCGGGCAACCCAAGGAAAACACAGGTCTTGCTCCTCAGGAAAACTGGAGACAGACAGTAACAAATGAAACTCGCTGACAGGTGAGCAAGAATAGTCACATGGTACTCACCCTGGGCCCGGGGGTGGGGTGGGGTGGGGTGTGTGCGTGTGTGTGCGCGCGTGCCCACTCACAGATCTGCTCACAAATCCGCCCAGCGCAGCAAGCAAGAGCCTACCATCCCCTCGAGACTTAGCAAGAAGGAAACAAAGGCTTAGGTTCCAAGCTGCCTCTAAGTCCCATCCAGACCTATCCCGCAGCTCCTCCCCAGGCACCCACAGAGAAGTGACCACCTTTGATAACCTGTGTTCATGACCCCTTCCTGCCCTGGCTCAAAAGTCATCATTCTCAGCCGGCCGAGTGGCTCAGTTGGTTAAGAGCTCGCTCAGGAGTGCGAACTCCAAGCAACAGCAGTTCGAGTCCCAGCCTGAGCTGAGCTGCCAACAGGTGGTAGGATGGCTCAGCTAAAAAAAAAAAAAAAAAAAAGTCATCATTCTCCAAAATGCACTCGTTTTCCCTTATTCTGCTGCCAATTACCTGGAGGCAGCGGGAACCTCCCCACACACCTAAACCTGGCTCTGATCTGAACTCCCCATGGAACTTTAGAAAAGGTACAGAAACCCAGGCTGTACCCCAGCCCCCTGAATCTGAGTCTAGGGTGGGATCTAGTGTCCCAGCCAACCAGGTGCCAGAACCACTAACATGGAAGGCTGTGGGCTGGATGGAGAGGCCTGGGTCCCAGTCTCTGAACTCCGCCACAAAATATGCCCGTGTGACTGCAGGAAGCCTTCTCAGTCAGAGTGGTAAGCTGGGGTAAGCTGAGCCCCGAACGCCTGCCTCTCTCTGGGCCTTGGTCTCCACCCCTGTGAATGAGGGGCTGGGCTTCCAGGGCTAACACCAGCCTTGGTTCCTGGGGAAGGCTGTGAGCCATGCTTTCTTCTTCTGAAGGCGCGCTTCCCAGAGCAGTCAACAAACGCTCCCACGGTTACCACAGAATGACATGACCTTTGGTGGCAAAGCTGTTCCCAGAGGTGGCTTGGCCAAAAGAGAAGAAACAACAAGTCCCATAGTAGGAGAAAAGCTAACGCCCGGTGCAAGACGAATGGAAGCTGGACTCCAGGAGTAATCCCAGGCCCGGAAGCCATCAGCAAAGGTGGTACAACATCCAATCCTTTCTTTCCCCCCATTCTCCATGTCCATGGAGAGGCAGCAGGATATAAAGCAAAGGTCAGGGTTCGAGTCAGAGAGGTGGCATCTGCAGCCTGAGATCCGATTCTACTGTGCTCCATAAACGGTGGGCCCTCTCACTCAGCCTCTCCAAACTGCCTCTGGGTTTTTAACTTCTTGGGTCCTAATAGCCCAGGGCAGACAAAGAAACTCCTTTCAGGGAAGGATGGTCTTAGACTCTCCTCTAGCAGTGTTTCTTAGGGAACAATGACAGCGAGCTGCTGCACGGGCTTCCAGACAAAAAGCCCCACTGCCACGTGCTGTCTGTGACGTTCTAGCTCCACCAGGCCCACTCTGCTAACCTCAGCCAGAGCCACCTTGTGCCCAGACCCCTGCAGTAGCCTTGTGACCTGACCCTCCACTCCCTGTCTTGCTTCTCCCATGGCAGCCAGGATCATGGCTTAAAGGACATCTGATCATGTCACTCCCCTGCTTAAAACCTTCACTGCATTCTTGCCCCTCCTCCTAGCCCCTCACAGGGATCTCTGGGCCCCATGTGACCTGCCCATTGTCGACTCCTGTCCATGTCTGTGCTCATCACACACCTGCCTTCTGTCCCTGAATGCGCAGGCTCTTTCCTTCCTCACAGCCTCCCTGGATGCTATTCCTCTGCCCACCACACTCAGCCTCTGGCTAACTTCTCTTGATTTATTCCACATTCATTCCTTCAACCGGTCAGGCATCAGGCACTGTTCAAAGCATGAGTGCCTGCCCCCACGAAGCTTACACTCCACTGCAGGAGGCGGGTTGGGTAGGGGTGTAACCAATAAGCTCACACTATGTGTGGTGGTGCTAAGCAGTGGGGGCTAGTGCCAGGTGGGGACTAGACTTATCGGGGGGATCACTTCATAAATTACATAAATGTCTAGCCACTACGCTGCACACCTGAAACTAATAATAATACTGATGTCAACTATAATTGGAAAAGAAAAAAAAGCAATGGGGTCACTGTTTTAAATGAGGGACCAGGGAGGTCTCTGAAGGAGCTGAAAACAGCAAGGAAGCAAGTCACAGCTCCTGTCAGAGCAGCCTCCTCCATCCCACAGCTCAAGTCAGGCCCCAACGTCTCTCACCCTCGGTTTCCTTTCCTTTTCTCGTACCTATTGTACTTTGCAGTTTTGTTTTTGTGACGATTTTCAATGTGTTAGATTAAATAAGCTCTATTAGGCCATGTCCAGTGTGCACCCCTTTGTCTCCAGCATCTAACAGTGTCCAATGTCTGTCTGTCGCTTACCAAGTGAGTAATATTGGTCAAGTGTCTTCACCTTTCTTCAATTCAGTTTCTTCATCTGTAAAATGAAGCCAATGGCACCCACTCTCAGTTGCTATGAAGAGTACATGTAAAGTGCTTAGAATACAGTCTGGTACACACTAAGCACTCAATCCTGTTCCCTATTATTTGTAAGAGAGTGTTTGATAACTATTTATAGAATGAATGACTGCATGAGTCCATGATCAGGGAAGAGGAGGGGAAATATTTGGGGTCAAGTTCTCCTATCAGTGGCCAAGGGGAGCCTGGAACAACCTCCCGGCTGCTCCTTTTTCCATCAAAACCTGCTGCTTGGGCCGGCTGAGTGGCGCGTTGGTTAAGAGCTGGCTTGGGACGCCAGAGCGCCCTGGTTCAGATCCCACATATGAGGGCCAGTGACACTGCCCTCTATAGCTAAGATGCTGAACAACAGCTCAACCTGGTGGGCTGCCGTGGGTCGCCAGCGATGGCAGGTGGGTTGCCATGGGCTACGGTGTGCAGCCAGCAGCCAGTGTGAGCCGCCAGCAGCTGCAGTGAGCAGCCATCCAGAAGCCGGCGACAGATCTGCCTCGCCCGGGAAGAGCACAATGATGGTGCCAACTTGGGCCAGTGAAGCAACGTCCTCCACAACTAGACTGAAGAACAAAATGACAGCAACTTGTCTGTTCCCCTTCCCCCAATTCCCCAATAAAAATCTTAAATAAAAAAAAAACAACACCTGCTACTTGCTGCTAGTAAATCCCTCCTGGAAAAAAATGGAAACAAACAAAACACCCAAGGGGTTAAACAGACTAAGGGACTGATATTTGAATAGACACTTGAATAGACACGCTTTCATTTCTCCCTTAAGCTCAGGACTTAAGTTAGAAGCAAGTTCTATTGCTTTGCATCTCCCAGTCAACAGCCCCAAACCTGCTTACACCGGGGCAGGACCTGGCTCCCTCATTAGCTGGCAGCTTCCTTTCCTCCCCCTTTTGCAGCCTCTCAGGATTTCATACTGGGCATGCCTGACCAGCCAGGCACTTCTCCTTTGAATTGCTCTCCAAAGGGGAGGTATCCATTTTGCTTCAATGATCAATATAATCATTCATGAATACGAGTCATTCCCTGTCTTGGGACCCAATTATTTTCTTGTGGAAGCAGTGGTTGCAAAAATATATTGTTGTCCAGTTAACTAGTAAGTGCTATTTTTATCTATGGTTTCCCCACTCCTAATCTTTCATTATTGGTGAGAGGTTGCTGTTTAAACCTGAGTCCAAGTTCCCTTGTCTACTCGTTCTATCAAGTCACCACCTCCTCCAGGCTGCCAATTACCTGAAGGGAGCCACAAGAGAAGGTGTTGGTGGTCAGTCTTCCTCTTCCCTCTCCCCTTGCCAACACCAAGGGAAGGGAGGGAATGGGTCTCTCTACTTGAGCACTGTCCAAGCACAAACCATCATTCCAGGGAGTTTTATGGGTGTGCAGGGAGGTTGTTTGGACTGGACTACTATGCTGGCATTTATGCAGAAAAAGGATCACAGGAAATGCCAACTCTCAGGGGCTACGAAATCATAGGGGCCTTCGCTGACATCTCAGCTCTGTTCCTCAACTAGCCATGTGGCCTCGGGCAATAAGCCAGCATTGTGGGCTTCCCTTTTCTTGCGTATAAAACGGGATTAATAATGACTCCTCTCATGGGGCTTGTCAGGTTAAAGGAGGTAACATATGCCATGGTCACCTTCTCTTCCCCAACTCAGTGTGTGACACGTCAGTCACTGCAGTCTACTCCATTTCCCGCAAGGGCACCGCCAACCTTTCAGTTGCTCAGGCCAAAAACCTGGGTGTCCTCTGGCTCCTCTCTCACAACCTTCATCCAGTCTACCAGTGGCCCTGCCAGCTCTGCCTCCCACCTTCACAACCAGGCCAGGTGCCTCCTGGTCCATCTACCACCATCATTGCGTTCCTGAGTTACTGCAGTAGGCCCTGAGTGATTTCCTGCTGCCACCTTTGGTCCCTAACAGTCTCTTTGTAACACAGCAGCTAAGCCAGCATGACCCTTTAAAAACGCAACTCCAATCATGTCACCCCTCTGCTCAAAACCCTCCAATGGCGCTCATCTCACTTAGAATACAAGCCAAGTCCTTACAGGGTCCTACAAGGGCTTCATGACAGACGTGGGCATCTCCTCTCCAGGCATCTCCTGCCACTCTCTCCCTTGATCGCGCCCCTCCTGACACACTGACAACCTTCCTGCCCTTTGACCGTGCTAAGCATACTCCTGCCGTGGGCCTGTGGACATGCTGTTTCCTCCACATGGAGAGCTCTTCCCCCAGAGGGCTGCACGGCTCACTCCCTTCTCAGCCCTCTGTCACCCTATCAAAGCCTATCCTGAATATATAAAATCGCACCCCCATTTCACTCTCTATTCTCCGTTTGTTCTACTTTTCTTTCTTCACAGCACTTATCAATTTATCACCACCCAACATAATGAATATCTGTGTTTATTGTAATCTGACTCTCTGCCTAGAATCTGGGTACAGCTATATCCAAGATGCCTAAAACAGAGCCTGAAGAAAGAAGGCCTTCAAAAGACACAGTATTTGTTGAATGAATGCATAAAGCACGCAGGAAAATGTCCAGCTCATGGGTAAGCAGGAACTCAACATTATTTAAAATAAGAATACCTGTTCTAAAAAACCTACTACGAGAATTACAAAACTTTTTTCACATCACTTCCCCCGACCCCACTCCCCGGTTTCCTGGGCTGACAGTATCCTCAGCTCACAGGTGAGGAAACTGAGGCAGAGTGCCTAGGAAGGTGAATTTCCCAGCAAGCAGCAACCAGAGTACAAGAGCAGTCACCCATCATTTGAATGCTCTCCATGTGTCAGGGATATCCTTGATCCCATCTGATCAGCACAACCCAATGAAGCTGGTTCTTTGATTTATTCCCATTCTAAAGGTGA